GAATTCTCTGATCCGTAGGTCAGCAAAAGTCATGTGACTGATGTAGTAAGCATAGTAAATTAACAAAAATTTTTGACTAATACTATTTCATAATTTTGGTCAAAATTTTAGGCATAATATTTTGGCATCCAAGCTAGCATAAAAGTAGTAAACTAATAGAACTAGATTAGCTTTATAACAGTTTCATGATAGTTTCTTACCAGTTACATGATACTAACAGTCTACCACAGCACTATCATGATGTCAAGCTGAATTCTTAAATCATATATCCTAAAGATCAGCTAAAAATATGCTATAAATCTGACCAAAATTAATCGCAAATTTATTGTACTACCTAACATGATTTTGTTACTACAATTTGGCATTTTAACAGGCAACCAAAAAGATATTTGTAATTTAGTAATGCTAATTAATTAGTATTAAAATTTAAAGAGAACAATACAAAACTTTAAAAAATAAATAATGATAAAAAAATACTTTTAATATTTTGAATTATAATCTAAAATTTTATAATTTAATAAAAAATGATTTTTAAATTAATTTTTAAATCAACATAATCTAACTTGAACTAAAGATAGGCACCATAATTAAGAAGTTACAACTCGGTAAGTTGCAACTTGGTTGCAACTTCTTGTAAATTTATTTTAATATAAAAATTCATAAAATGTTGCAACTCAAAGTATTGCAACTTAAATTACAACTAGTTAAAAATTTTAAAAATAATTATGGCAACCATCTTTAACTTGAACCTTACTATTAATTAAATAAAGGGAATTTTAATTTTTTTTTTAATAAAATTTAATAAGAAAAAATCACTGTATATATAGTATCATATGATTCACAATTTTTATGCATATTTTATAATAGAATAATATAAAATGATTATCACCTTCTAAGAAAACCATTATACTATACTATTATATGATAAATATTATCATAATATTTATATTTTTAAATTTATTTTATATTATAAGATATTAATTACATTATAAAGATTATATCCATTTTTTATATTTTATTAAAACTTTATTATTATATAAATAGATAGATTTTTTATTTATTATTATTATACAATAAGAATAATCATACAATTTATATAACAAAACTTTGCAAAAATAAGCATTTTTACTAATTTAACAATCATATGACTGCAAAAAAAAGATGTTTATTTTCACGATTTTACAGTATATACATGTATATATAATTAAATTATACTTGATACAAATATAGATATACTTGTTACTATAATTAATAACAATTATATATTTATATTATTATAATTAATTTATACACAATTAATTTATAACTTTATAATTAATAATAATATAAATATTTGCAATAATAAATGCAAATATATATATAATTTTATTTATATTATTACTAAAGATAATATTGCAATTGATTTGAAAAATCTGCAACTAGTTACAACAAATTTAAAAATTAAAAATTAAAATAATTTTATACTTTTTACTAAATAATTTTTATTCTTTTATTTTGCAAATTTTAATCGAAAATATACAAAACTAATGTTGATTATTAATTAATAATTTATATATTTATTAATGAAAATTATAACTTTATATGATTATTTTGATATGCATTTACTATGATTTTATTTATAATATCACCGTGATATTTACATTGTGATATAATCTTATTCAGTCAAACATTCGCGTGCTCAAATTAATGATTTCAAATCGCGTTTGTTCATTACTTTTTTTATTTTATTTTATTCGCTTTTTCTTATTTTTTTTTCATTTCTTTCAGTCTTGCATCGAGCTCACGCGTATTACGCGAGAAAAAGAGTAAGGGGTGGTTTTTTTTTCTTTATATAATTGCAAAGCATTATTTACTCATGAATATTAAATCTTTCAGGGATGGTTCCAAGTGAAATTAATGAATCAATTTTTAATCATATTGAAATGACATTTTCAAAAACAACCTTTGAATTTAGACGTGATGGTTTAGAGAAAGCTCTAACAAAAGTACTATCAGAAAAAGAAATGATTCATATTAATGAACTTTTAAATCGAATATATTATGAATTATTACATTCTGAATTATCAGATGTTATATATCCTACTTTGCCAAATTTAAATGAATTTCAAAATGGGTATATTGCTCAAAATGGTCCGATATTACTTGAAATTGTTGAATGTATTGAAGTTGGAATACCTACTTATAAATTATTACAAGTTCTGAATGAATTTGAATCAACTCAAGCAAATCTTACAGAGGATAAGAGAGAATCAGAAGCAAAATTAGAATTTCCGAGAAAAATGTTATATTTACTTTTGTCTGATGGACAGCAGAAAATTAAAGGAATGGAATATAAACGAATACCTGAACTTAGTCTAAACACTCCCATTGGTAAAAAGGTATGTTAACACGTTATTGATTTGGATTGCAATACCAAACTAATAAAATTTCTTAACAGGTTTTAATAAATAATGTGAAATATGCAGAGAATGTGTTGTTTCTTACACCCGAAAATACATTCATTTGTGACGGATTTGAATGGACATCTCGTAGACCTGGAGATTTAAAACTAACTTTTATGGAAATATTAGGGTATATATTGTAGTAATTCAATTATTTATTTCCATTACTTTATTAAGATTTTTATAACTTTAGAATGACTATAGACGAGAGCGTAGAAGATGAATCACAAATTTCATTTAATACTTTGTATCCGTATGCTGCTCCAGCTTTTCTATCTAGTGATACGGGTAATAGAGTGGCTAGAGTTGTATTTGAAGTTGTTCCAAATATGGAAGAACTTACAATGTTGAATAGATTTTTGCTTAAAGCTGAAACGTCAAATCAACCTCCAAGAAGAGAACCTCTATATAACAAGAAACGCGCTTGGCTTTATGAGGAAATAGATTACGATATCGATACGAACCTTGAACTTCCACCTTTAAAAAAGGTTCATACAGACGATTATCATAGAAAGAAATTAGATGGTGGAAGCTTAACAAATCCTATCCTTTTGGATTATGATGATAACGATTATGAAAGGGATTTAGGTTGATACATTACTGATTTACCTTTATTTTTTTTTAATTAATTTATATATTCATAGCATAAATTTAAATTTAGATGAAATTCTTTCCGGATATACCTTTGATAATTAGAAAGCTCAGGAGCAACGTAAGTAAATTCTCTATACTGTCTTTTATAATCATATTAATAGTTATTGCTAAAATCACATTATTATAATTTAGCATTTTAACTTTTTTTTCATTTTGAACTTCTTTTTTTATTGGTTATAAGTACACTATTTGTATTATAAATGAACTTGATTAAACAATATATATATAACTTTTGTTAATTTTACTTGAAAATAATCAATTTTTCTTTTTTAAGTATCTTAATTATTAAAGAAATTACACGAGTTTCAGATTGAAATCAAAGATAAAGAGCTGTAATTTGAATTTTAAGTGGGATAAAGATTTAAAATTAAAATCCAAAACTAGAATAGGCTTACTCGGACCATTTTAGCCTTATAGTTTAGGTTTCGAAGAATAGCTTCATTAAATTGAAAAGTATGTTCCTCTTTTTTTGAAAAGTTTTATTTTAATTTTATAAATAGTTTGCGGATTAGGAATGGTTCAATAGTAGTACTTGTGCGAACACTATTAATATTATGTCTTTCTTTTGCAGGTAAAATCATAACATTTGTTTGGATTGGAAACAAGTAGTCAGCTTTTATGGGATTTCGTCAATAAAATGAATCGGGACGTGAAACTAGTAATAAATAATATCATGAGATCTATAGATGTATTATTTTGTTCATATTTTATTAAAAATCTTAAAAAACAATTGATTTTATGATTTTATTTGGTCATAAGATCAATTATTAGTCATTAAAAAAAATGACCTTTAAGTATTATTCTTGCGAAAAGGATCCACAAACACCATCATATTTTAATAATCGATGATGTGTATTAGTCATTTTAATCTTCCCAACACTTTTTTTTCATCCCACGTGACTTAAATTGCAGATCATTTCCAAAAATGATAATTAAAATATATATTTTTTTTTTATTAATAAAAACTTATTACAAACATTATCTAATCCCAAAACTCATGTTTATACCTAATTTTATTTGCCTACAAGTTTACTTAAAGAATAAAAGTAGCTTTTAAATGCTGATTTTTGTAAAATTAATTATTTTGAAATATTCATATTAAAAGTCAAAATTCATATTTAAAGCCTATTTTTATTGTTTAAGTAAACCTGTAAAGCAGACAAAAATACATATAATACATGAGTTTAAAAATATATAACATTTGTGTCTAAAGTTTTATTTTTTATTTTTAAGGATTATCAACAAGTTGATATTATAAGGGTAGGATTGGTAAAAGTCCTAATTGGTTCTAATTGGTCCTGATTAATTTTAAAAAAATTATTAATTTTAAAGATTAAATTTTTTTAAATATTATTATTATATTTAATTTTTTAATTAAAATTACTTATTAAAATAAGTTTAAATTTCTTTTTAAATTTAAAATATCTTTAAAAATTTAGACCTAGGACCTAGGTCCAAGGACCAGATCCTAAATTAAGTATATTTATTATCTTTAAAGAATATTTTTATTTTAAATTAATAAAATAATTGATATATAATAATTATTAAAAAGATTAATTTATTATTAAAAAATTTAATTAATAATATATAAATTAAAATTATCTTTAAATTCTTTAAGACCAATTAGGACTTATTAGGACTTTTACCAATCCTAAATGGAAATGTAACTGGTTATGCAAAAATCAGAATTAACAAGACATTCTTTGGGTCTTTAAATTACTCAAAACAAATGAGAAGTGGGCAAGAGAATTACTTACATAGATTCAGAAAGCAATATCTTTCAGAAAATTAAGGGACCCAGGAAGTTCTAAAGCTAAATTCTTAAATAAATTTCTGAAAGAGGATGAATGTCTTCCTGAAACAGGTAAGTCATGTCTTTCTAGAAATTTGCGTAATTTAGGATGTGCATTTGCATATAAAGTGCATAAAGCGAAAAATCCATCAAAAGCTTTGACCATTGCTAGTCAAACATTTCAGCACTATTCTGACAATAATGTGTTTCTAACTAAAAAGTATACTAAAGTGAATATGTTAGCCCACAGAATGTCTTACAATCAAGCAAAACTATTTATGTTCTCTGATGAAAACTAATCATATATATGGTTAGATATTATTTATTAATTTATTTTTTTATTCAAAGTAAGATATATCATATATAAAATATCACAAAAATAGTAACTGAACAAAAATATTCATTTAATAGTACACCTAGCGAGCAGGAAGTTATCAGATACACAGAAAAATTAGCCTAGATATTTGGTTTAGTCAAGCAAAATGCAAAAGTGTATAGTGCACTTTTTAGTGAAAATAGAATGCTAAAGAAACAATTTAGAAGATTATCATTCCCAACCTATTACTTTAGAAAGGAGGGTAAAAAGATTGGAGAAAGATATAAGATCCTTAAAAGACCAATTAAAAGATGTGTGGATAGGAAAACTGTAGTCAACTTAATACAAAAAATAGCTTTTTCAGTAAATATTAAAAAATGTAAGAGTCTCTCCTATTTATCTGAGTCTTCTGAAGATTCTAATTCGGTTGAGATAGTTAAGAGATCCCAAAGGTATCAGGTAGAAGAGGTTATTTCTCATAAGTAATGAAAAAAAACATGATGAAGAAAGATTATACAGTTTGTAATTTGAAGTAGTGATCACTTGGTGTAGTAATCATCAACTTAAAGAATTTTTTTTTATTAAAAATATGATATTTTATCCTTAATCTTAACAATGAAAAGATTTGGAAATATGTTTATAAGAGATTCTATTAATTGGATAGATCAGTCATCCCCTCTAAGCTCTCCAGTTTTAGAACCTAATAAGAGCAAAGAAATTCCACTGCCAGTCCAGCAAGACCAATCAGTAAAAGTATATTCTGATGCAATAAAACAATATGCTTCAGAAACAGTTACAGGCAGGATTGGGAATTTTGTATGTACTAGATAAAATTACCACTATACTTGTACTGTACTTGTACTAATTTTTATATTAATTATTGTAATGTACTAACTGTACTAATTGTACTAATCATTGTACTAATATTGTACTTCCCAACCCTGGTTACAGGCTTGCAAAGTGAAGAGCTTAAAAAAGTTTTCTTTGATGGTTTATCATTCAGCAATAAAAAGTACGCAATCAGATTCAGAACTGAGAGACCCCTGAATGAATTGGTTGAATTAAAATAACATCTTCTATTTCTTTACAAGGACACCTATAAGGATTGAAGCAGGATGATTATTCAGTAGAAGATTTTTATAAGAAGTACAAGGAATATACAAAGCTTTCTAGATAAGATGAAAGAAAGTGTAAAGATCAATTTATTCGTGGACTCTCATCTGCAAATCAATTCAAAGTAAGATTATGTGGATTAGATCTTTCTTTAGATGAACTAGTAGATAGACTGGTTAAACTTGAAGTATTAGAAAGACATAATATTCTGATTGTGATACAGATGCGGTACTTCCATTTTATAGAGACACATCAAACTAAAGAGGAGTAATATACAAAAGATTTTTATAAAAATAATACATAAGGAGCAGAAGTCAATTTATTGCTTGAATGTAACTCATATAGAAATTCCAGATTACCATCTTTCAGATAAAAAATTCAAAAGCATTGCAGGCCTGTTTCCAAATATAGTTTATTTAAATTTATATTATAGTGTAAGATTTAGTGATAAAACATTAAACTGAATTGCAGAATCATATCCCAATCTGAAGTATCTTAACTTGGAAGGATATGATGGTGATTGATTAATAACTGATAAAGGTCTATATGCAATTGCAAATTCATGCCATAAATTAAAATATCTAAATATTTCTAGTCGCAAAGTATTTTCTGAAATAGTGATTTGGAATGTTATTCATTCTTGTCTAAAAATCTAAGAGTTTGTTATTTACAGGTGTAAAATATCCAATACAACTATTAAGGAAATTGAATTATATCTTAAAATAAAATATATTAATTCAGATACCGCTACCTGATATTTAGAAAAAATTGGCTGAAGTAGACATGTTTTTCTAGCTCTTCTTCTGAAGGTTTCAATTTATCTAAAATTCCAAATACTACATCAAATATCAAAATCTGCTATGTATAACATTTCAATCAGCATAGTCTATATAGGCAAATCACTTGTTCTAGATATAGGCACTGTCGGCTAATTTATTTTTTCAATTAAAAATACAGAGTATATTATTTATGATGCATTCAAACATTTTTATTATACCAGAACTATTAGAGCAGATTCTATATTTCCTAACAGTAAATAAAACACTGTATCCCACTCTATTTGTATCCTGATTATGATACAAATGCAATGCTTTTATTCTATGGAAATATATTGAGCTAAAGGGAATGACCTGAGATATGGGCATCATTTTTTAGAAGATTATAATTATTGTACGAGAGATCGTACTTGATGGAAAAGATTTGTAAAAATATTATGCGAAAAGCATAGCCAACTTATGTCTCAAATATAACTTATCTAAAAATTACTTTTTACTATTCACTTTCAGATAAAAAAATAAAAGTATTGTGAAAATATTTCTGAATATAATTCATTTAGATTTTAAAAATAGTATAGGTTTTAGCAATAAATCACTATTTGTAATAGCGGAATCATATTCTAATTTGAGATATATTAATTTGTGGGATGCTCAAATAACTGATAAAGATTTATATGCAATTACGCGATCATGTTGTAAATTAGAATATCTAAATATTTCTTACTGCAAAAATATTAGTAATAAAACTTTATTTAAAATCGCAAGAAATTGTCATAATTTGCAAAAGTTTTATTTTGCCGAAGCATATTGGATCACAGATAAATCTATAAGTTATATCTTAAACTCATGCCTAAATTTACGAAAACTTGATATTGCGTTTAGTTGTAAAGATATCAAAGATGCTAGTACTTTAATACGAAGATATTTTAATATAAAGTATCTTGACTTTAGTGAGGTTATGGCTTTGTAAAATGATGTATTAATTATAGCTATTACCAAATGATCTCTGAATTTAAGATATTTAGAAATCAGTCATAATGATATTAGTGATGAGGTTACTGAAGCACTAGCACATATATATTATAAATTAGAGCATTTCGAGCTAGTTAGTTATCTATTTATCAGTGAACTATCAATTTGTAATGTTATACATTTCTGCCCAAGACTTCAGCATCTCGAACTCAAATACTGTAATATTACCAATACGACTATCAGAGAAATTGCTCGCTTATATCTCAATTTAAAATTTTTAGATTTGGAAAAATGTGAAAATATTAGTAAAAAAGCCATGAATCAGCTTAATCAAAACATTCATATCAATAATTTTGATAAAGAATACTACTCTAATTCAGAATCTTCTAGCTCTAGCTCTGAAAATGAATCAGAAAATGAAGATGTCTATAGTAATAATACCTCTCTTCTTATATTTATGGGTACGACTGATACTACAAATGATTTTATTTCTGAATTTTTTACTAGAACCGGTAATTATTATTTCAGAAGAATTTGCTAATCTATACACAGTGTCTGTCTCTTCATTTTTTTTCTTTAAGATTTTGAATTTACTCTTCTAAAGTCAAGATTATGGTTCATAAAAAGAATAAAAGACATATTCAATCTATACCATCAGCAACTTCAATATTAGCCAATGAGATTCGACCTAAAAGTGTGACAGTAACAGATACAGAATTGTGAGAACTTATTCATCAAGGTCTAGTAGTTGATAAAGTTTATGAAATATTATTATATGATCGAAAAAATATGCCTTGGATTGATAACTTTATTAATCTTTCGATTAAGTTTGAAAACTAATGCGATGATCTAAGAAAAAAGCATATCACTCCTTAATGAGAGAACTCTTTAGTATGAAGGTATTTCGTAATGTATCCAATCAAAATGGATTCATCTCCAAAGCAGAATATTATAGAAATAAAATAGATACTTGTATAACTAATTTCATCATTCTAATGTGTAAGGTAAAAAAGGATGGTTAAGCTGTAGATCAGTTGTGATATTATATCAACTGACAACTACAGAAATAGTAGTAGATTTACTTAATGATACTGAAAATAAAAATCCTGAAATTCGTGAACAAATAATCATTTTCTAAAAAGATATTCTCCCAAAATCACGTATTTTATTCATTTTGAATATTTCATATTTTTGTATAAAATTTATTGATATGTCTAACACACAATCTAATGATTCATTAAAGAAATTAAATGCCAAGCTTTTAGTTAAGATTGCTAAGCTTAGGAAGGAAAATGCTAAAATTTCTAAACTTAAAAAGAAGAATGCTGAGACCCTTAAACTTAAAAGGAAGTTTGTGGAGATTGAATCTGAAAAAGTTGAGTTTAAGATCAGGATTGCTGAGCTTCTAAGACAGGCTGTGAAAGAGAGTAAAAGACGTGATATTGAGAATGCCAAACTCAAGGCCAGAATTGAGGAACTAGAGAAAAATAAGACAATTACCAATATACTCGAGTTTGAGAATGCTACATTTAGAGATAGAATTATGAAAGTGAAATAAAGGCAGTTACATAATGATAATTTTTCTAACGACAGTAATAATAGTTTATTTAACTTCAATTCAGTTGTAGATCAGGTTAGCAAAGTTAACTTGTATCATGAGAAACCATTAGTGAATAGGAAATGGATACTTCATTATCTGAAGAATCGATTTCAGAGGTGATTGTAAAGCAATCGGTATCAGCTGTTAATATATCTGTTATAGATCAACGTGATCAGATATTCTTAGAAGATAAGGAAATAGATACTTTCTTGGATGAAGTGCATAAGAAAAGGATTAGTGATGAGATTAAACAACGCAATAAGGAGAAGAAACTTCAAGCTCAAGAGTTTCTTTTAATAGGATCCTAAAGGAACCAGAAACCTCAAATTCTCGACTCGATTACTCAGCCATGCAATAGCATATTATCGAAAGTATCAACTAATTCAGATGGCAAAAAAGTATCTACAGAAGAGAAGATAGGTAGTGAACAGGATTCAAAGTGTAAGAAGAGAAAGAGTGTTAATAAGCTTAAGCAAGAATTATTTGCTTTGAAGTTGTCTTCATAAGAGCTATCAATAGAACAAAATCATGCAACTGAAATTTCTTAGACAATATGTCTTGGAAAAGTTACTTCTGATAAATCTAGCATTGATGAGACCTTACAATATCTAGCTCAGTTATGTGATAAAGCTTTTGATGCTGAAGATAAAGCAAATCGAGCTAATCAGAAAGAAATTTTATGTTGGCGTCTCTATACGAAAGATTTCATAATTCAGCTCAATAGAATTATAGAAAGTAGTGAAGGTAAATTCAATGAAAAAAGGTAAAGGCTTACTGAATGATTCCATTACAAAACAGCTTAATTTATTTCACAAACAGAGATCCCAAGAAATGGGATTACAACTTCAAGATATATTATGAGATAATTTACACAAGAAACTCAGAGAGCTGAGAAAGTCTATAAAATTATCAAACGAGTGGGCTTAGATAAAATCAAATATATTAAATCTTATAGTGCAACTTCTATTTCAGAGCTTACTAATGAACAAATTTAAGAGGTTATAGATTATAGAATATTTTTGGAAAAGTTACCACTGGTAACAGATCATGTAACTGAAATTTCTAAAACATTATGTTTCAAAAATAATTTGCCTAAGAATACTTCACCAAAAACTAAGAATGACTAGATAAGTGCACTTATTCCTTCAACTTATAATTCTAATTCTTCAAGTAATTCCTCTGGAATCAGATTAGCACGAATGATTTTACAAGCCACACCTTAAGTAAGTGTATCACCATATTAATTCTTAGGACCAATCCAACTTATGACCGATCCTATTTTCACAATAAGACATTGGGCTAATGTCCTACTTTATATAGAGAATTTAGTAATGAATATTTCAATTATTATGGTATTACTGACAAAATATCTTGCGATTCCAAAAGGACTTGCCATTATACAGTTTAGATCATAATGATGAGGAAAGTATAGAAGGTAAATATAAGGCTAGATCCTATTTTATTAAGTATGAACAGTGCGAAATTGAGATAATTGCATAGTCTCATATTTTTTATACATGTCTACTATTATCTAATTAGATTGATATGCAATCATATAAAAGGCGATATGAGCAAGCCCAATAAAGTATTAACCCTCAAGTATCTAAATTAGCATGTCAAATTAACTGGTTTACCAAAAGTTTTGACAGATAAGATTCATATCAAATTATAAAAAAGAAATTGGATGTGAACTATGGTAATTATCAGAAGCTATAATAAGTGTATCAGCAAAATCTCAAGCTTCTGATTTCAAGTCTATCACTTATGAAGTCAAACCCTATTCAGAATTAATTATTGAATCTGTCTTAGAGCATTTTACATATCTGAAATTCTAAAATAGTTTTAAGGGGATTGATAATTATAATTTTGTATTAGCTCAGCCATGGAACTCATCATGTCTTATTTGTTATCGAAAACATAGGAATTATGGATTACATAGCGAATAGTATAGAAATGGAACAGAATATTGTCTTACCTGCAACAGTTTAAGCAATAAACTCAAGTTTGTGATTGTGACTTAGACCGGTCATGTGAGATCAATCACCTAAAAAATTGCATAATATGAAATTAAGATATTTTTTTTAACATATAGTAATATTTACGACGTACTGCAGTATAAAAAAATATCAGCAAAAAAATACTGGAGAAAAAACCTCTGAACAAGTCATTATGCAGTTAAGGTGAGTTTACTTTCAGTTGTATTGGGTAAGCAACAAGCTAATAGACAATTTTTTCATTTGGAATAATACTAGTATTACAGAAGGGAAGGTGGTATTGTTAATGTATAATTCTTGCGAATTACAACTGTTAGACAGTATTATTTCTTTTTAATTGGCGCAGTAATCTCAAGGCTTTTACAAGTTTATTATCACAACTAATTCAAGTAAAGATTTCAAATTAAGGTTTATGCAGATATTTTACAGTCAATAATTCACAAGGTATCGAGTAATCATATTTTCAAGTAAGATGTTTATTGATAAGAATAGAAATAGAATTAAAGAAAATAAAAGATATGACAAGAGAGAAAAAAAAGAAAAGAAACAAAGTATGAAATTAAAATGTAACACGATAGGCCTGTTTGCCTCTTAAAAACTACTGAAAAACTGACTTGTCAAATCCTCCTTTTTACATGGTCTAAAAAGCTATCTATTTATATAAAATACAGTATATAGAAAGATATAACTAATATGTCTAATATATCGTATATGTCAAATATGTCCGATATGTCATATATGTCGAATCTATCTAATATATCTTATTTGTCAATCATGTCAGATATGTTATAAATGTCAGATTTGTCAGATTTGTCGATCATCTACGCCACGTAGGTCCTATCATATTTTATTCGTTCACAGTATAATGCTTTAATTTTTTATCATTTTAAATAGCTAGTCTGAAGTAGTATCATTATATAGCAGTTTTTGATCTGTATTATGTATTTTTTTCTCATATGATCAATAAAGCAAAGATGTAATTAATTTACAAAATTCAGATATATAATGAAGGGATTGTGACAAGCATATATGCTAATATATTTTTTCGACCAAGTTTTATTATAATGAAATTATTGATTTAAAATTTAATAAATGCGCAGTATTATTCGAAAACATTTTAGTATAAACATCACATGTATCATGGAAACAAGTAATAATTTATTCTCAAACTTTCTCATATATTCTCAAAATTATATATAGTCTCTTAATGATCTTTACATACGGATAGCGTTAAATTTTTTATTGTTAAATTAAGGGGATGCTATTGATTAGATTTTTGTAATGTAATCATATTAATGTAATTTGCTCTAAAAGCATATTTCAAAATCAATTCTGTGAATTATATAAAAAGGTGATATCCTGATTAGTGAACTCTTTTATCTGTCTTGCAAAAATCAAACGAAAAATAAAACTTATCATTGTTAACATCATTGAAATCAACAATCAAAATAAACTCGCATGTTTTGCAAAGTTATAATAAGGTAGGCTGGTTTTATTGCCCGGCTAGCTTCTTAAAACATGTCATCATGATGTTAATCTATTTTTTCTTCTCTATAAATGTTCCAAAATAAAATGGAGATATTACTTTTCTAACTATATATCGGCATTTTGTTCTTTGCCGAGAAAATCACTAATCATCATCACGCATATAATAGGCGCAGTGAAATAAATCTCATCACATAATAAAATTTGGCACAATATGTCTAATAAATTTCCAATAATAAACATCTTCATGTAGATATTTGACGCAGTATCATACTAGCAATAAAAGAATCAAATTACTTTATTGTAATGCATTAAGTAATAAATTTCAGGCGGAATGTAATATTGTGAAAATTAATAGTAATGGTAAGTATGAATTGGAAATATTTTTTTATCTTAGTTGCTAATCTCCCGAATTTATCCATAAGTTTGAAATTACTTAATCTCTGAGAAGTTTTATTACAGTGAATATTATTTTACATAATCTGCGTGTTTGAAAGAGATATAGATAAACAACAATCCTGTAGACATGGGTGTGACAATTTATTTCAGAAATCTGGTGTAGAAAGAAAGTATTATTATGAGAATCTCGTAATTAGCAATTGATATAGAAATAAATTACAGTAGTTGTAAAAATTTATCAAAAGTGTGGGAGCAAAGAAATAACTTGATGCTGAGACTCGTATTAAATGGTCAAAGATCCGCATACTCCCTCCTCCTTCTTTGATAACATCATTTATTTCAATTACTATCTCAAATTTCTTTCAATTCGAGCAAAAATTTTTTTTTGGTGATTGGCGTTATAAATGTAGCTTATTTGTAAATCACATGAAGTGAGTGCTGACCAAATTGATTTTTTTTTTAAAAAAAAGTTTCTATGTAAAATAGATGTAATTCAGATCATTTGTTATTTCAAAAAAAAATTTTTTGATTTGGTCCCTTTTCCTAGCACTCACCCTACATATCACAAGAAATTCATTTTCCTCTATAAATGATGTCATGTAATTTATCTTTCTCTCATCACTCTCATCACACTAGATGATAAAGGTTTGTTTTCACGTCTTGTTTTTTAAATTAAGTAAAATAACCTAATATTAATCTTTCTAGCATCCTATTTTGATTTGTGTAACTTAAGATCACCATAAATATGATTTACAATTTCACATATAATAATAAACTTTTACTTTAAACGCTATACAAAAATATAACTGAGCAGAAAAGAAAGAAAATAAACCTTGAAAATTTAAACCTCGACCTATGCTATACCATAGAGGAATTTGAGTTGATCAATAAACAGCTCAAATCAAGGTCCATTGAACTTAATGAAAAACCAGTAGATCTTTTTAAATTCGACAAAGGCAAACTTATACCCATGCCACAGGCAACTGTTATAATGGAGATCATTGTCAGTGAAATTGCAAGACAACTTGGCGCTTGGAGCGTATGGACTCGACAAAATGGTATTGTAACAACTTCACAAGGTGGATATGATTTTAACGTTGGTGGCCAAAGAAAAATTGATACACTAGATATTGGATTTTAACGAGAGAAGCATATAATGGGTTGAATCAACAGCAACGCTAAACTTTCAAGGTGTACCTTTCTCCCTGATATTCGCTATTGAAGTTACAGACGTATCAGAAAGTTCGGATTTTCAAAGACTGGATCATAAAATAAAAGGTGATTAATTTGCAAATGAATCAAGCGTACAACTTGCGTGGCTGATTGATTCTGTAAACAAAGAAATTCATTTATACAGAAGAGATATGAGGCGCTATTTGTGGGGGTGGAGAGACATTGATGGTGATGCTGTTTTACCTGGCTTTACATTGAATGTGTGGGCAATCGATCAAGTTATTGAGGTATGTTGTTTTATTCACAAGTCTTTTTTGCCATTCATTTATTTTGTGGTCGTTTGTAGGGATCAGAGTCAGAAAGCTCAAGCTCAAGCTCAGGATCAAATGATTTGGGAAGATCAAATCAGTCGGATATGTCGACATCTTCACAAAGTTTAGATGGTTTAGGGAGATCAAGTGAAAATTCAAATAAGTCAGACCTTATTATTAATTGTCCTTTATGCAATAATGCCTTTGATAATTATTATAGTTTTATGTTACATTATGAAGCTAAACATGTACACTTAGTTCGGCGAATTAGGAATCAATAGATAGAATAGTTAATATGTGCATTTTTTAGTAGGAATCTTCTACATTTAAAACTTTGTGAATAATTAAATTTAATAAATTAGAAAGCATAATAAATATTTACACTCAGTTTAATAATTCACTACATGAAGACTCATTTTTTTATTCATTTTTTACTTAACCGGCCAGCCCTTTCTCACGTACTACTTTACAAAAATATAATAAAGATTTTACTTTGAGTTTTTTAAACGTATTTCGTGCTTTACAAGTGATAATATTTTTTTGCTTTTGTATTCTACTGCATTGTACTTACAAACTATGAAAATAAAAAATTTACTAAACTATTCGCGAAAAAGAAGGGATAGTTGGGTTACGGGTCTGGAGTTATTAGGTGTTTAACGATTGGAATAATAACGGTGGATTAGCTATCATCAAGGGAGGTGAAATCTGATTGGCCGATCATCTCATAATTTATAGAAACTCGCCAAACTGGCAGGGATTTCATGTGATACAAATTTTTTATTTTAGCCGTCCACAGTTGATCGGGTCTAATTTAACTGAATTAAAAAATATAAATATGTTTTCACTCAACAATTGAATAAAAATGAATATAGTTTTATTATAGTATAATATTGCTAAATCGATAAAATACTTTAAAATTGTTATAATCAGTTATAATTTGTTAAAACACTAATATGGATTTAGATGGTAGAACCTATTCAAAGCTAAATCTTGTAAGCTATAGTAATGTAAACTTTAAAGAATATTGAAGAATATTAGAAGCATTATCTTTTTTAAGAGATATATATAATTATGAAACATCAGAAATGTAGTATTCTTGTATTTGTGATCCATTTAGAAAAATACTTGAAGAAAACCCAAGAATCTTTTCTAAGAAAAGATATATTAGTATGTGCGAAAAGTTATATGAAAGTGGTAAAGAGTCTCATCCTAACGAATAAAAACAAATTATATATATTGTAGCGTATATGATTCCCTAGTATTTATATTTCAAAGATTTTTAGAATTTTCTTACAATCAAGATAGTCACTTGAAGAAATGTGTTACTAGCAAATGAACATGCAAAAAGAAAAGAAATTCTTCAATCTATTGATGATAGGGAATTTATCATTTGGCAATATAAATAATACATATTACAAGAAGAGAATAATCTGAAACGTCTCTAACTGGAGCTTTCATTCCAATCTACTCCACATTCAGAGAAGGATAAATTGGCATTGATATCATATGATAATTATACAAATGGCTATAGAACTTATGTACAGGCTAAAACAACTATAGCAAAAGATACTACGCCTAGTACTCTAAATTTTAAGCTATTTTGTGTTTTACCTGCTAGGCAAAAAATGGATTCACTAACTTCTGATCAATCACTGACCCTCAAAGGAAACATAAACAAAATATTTATCTCGTCTCAGTATGCAAAATAGAATAACTTGCTACCATTTATAAACTATCTTAATCAGCTAAAAGTTATTACGTTAAGATTAAGAAATAGGATAGAAATCACGATTATTGATTGAGAAATGATTTTAATATAGACTATTACTTTACTTTCTTGATATATATCTTTATTCATATATATTTTTCTTGACAAATTTTAGCAAACGTTATTCTCCTAAAATCACGTAAATTTTTTTTCTTGACAAAAATTCCCGAATATTATCTTAGCCATGAAATATATTTGCCTACGCTTTATGCTAATGCATGTAGGCATGTGCGACAAATATAAACATGTTCTTAATCCTAGTTAAAGCTTGTGAAGCACATTTATGATGTAATAGTAATACACTGCCAATCATTTATATGAGTATGAATATTTGCTTATGCAACAAAATAATTTCACACATAAATCATTTTTTCTCATGAATTCGAAAAAAAAGAAGAGTATTTCAAATCTATGATTATAAGAAGAAAAAAATATTATGTATTACTATCATATATTTTGTTTTAATTAATATGTCTTCTAAATTAAGGGATGAAGAAGGAAGTTCAGCTAGTGCCACATGAAAAGGTTCTTGTAAAATTACCTGAAGAGCCGATTATATTATGAAAATCCAGTTAGAAAAAAATGCAGAATTTGAAATTGTTTATCTTGAGACCGGTAGACCTAATTCTAGTCAAGATAAGCGGGTTCATGATCACAAAAAATTAATACATTTTTCTAAGGATTCTATTGATACTACAAGGAGCATAAAAACCTTAAAAAGATATTTAATCAACTATCCAAAAGGCAGAATCTGACTATATTTACTATTAATATTGCAGGTACACATAAATTACTTTCTATTTTTTTATATATTTATAAATCGTTTATATTCTACTCTATTTATTTCTAAGTGATGTTATAGAACTTTATGCTATGTAAAAAGAATCAGGAATTTGCAAGTACTGTCTAATAGAAGAGGCAACAATTTCATTGCATATAACTTCACTAAGTGCTATATATCCACTTATCCATACTTTGTTAACATTAAAGACGTCTGTAGCATGCTCAATCCACAAGATATTATATGATTTTAATTCTGGAAATAGTGAGCATATTTCTAGTGAAATAGTAGTAACAGTTTCGATTTCCAAAAATTTATAGAATAGAGTTGGATTTCATATATGTAATTATTGATAAAAAATTTTTCTTGCCAAAATCACGTGATTTTTCCATTAGTTTACTATATCAATAAAGCCCTGACAATCAATTTTGCAAATATATATTCATGTTTTTTGCTGATTGTTTTCTAAGGAAATGGTTTTTGTGTATGACATATATCAGATAATAAAATTTTCTTGGCAAAAGTGATCTGCGTTCCAAATTGGAACGAACACAATTATGTGATATAAAAACTGTTAACAATGTAAATGATCAAAATCACATGATCAGGATATCACGTGAAATTTTTGATCAGAATTAATATTTCTAATCGATCTGCCAGATTGGTATCATAAAACTGACGTGTGAATTTATTTTTTAAATTCTTTGAATTTCTTTCCCTGAATATGCAGAATTCTTTAATTTTAAGAATTTTTTATTATCTATAAGAAATAACTGGCATACTAATACCATCTTTTCATATATATTATTTGAAGCAACTTAACTAGCTTTCTCAATCTATTAAAATAGATATATAGCGACGTCTTACATCTTGAAAACATCCATTATCGCTAAAACAAGCAAGTAGTATTCATTCTGAAGTGAAAGATTTATTAAATAAAGCAGTTGAAAATTATATTAAGAAAAAAGAGCATTAGAAGATGAAGCTTATTACTAGCAATTGTGAAATTTCATTAAAGCAAGAAAATGAAAAGTTATGTATATCAAAGCAGGTATTAAAAAAAAATCAAAGAGCTTCTTGATTTGCAAGAGCAATATAAATCTCATGAGGTAGCTATGATTAGATCATTGAAAGAGAGTAGTAGGAAAGTCATCCAATTATCAAATTCAGTATCCTTTTAAAAAGTATAATTTCTGATATGAAAAAAAGCCATTGCATCAGCTGAAAAGTCTATTAACATGCTAGAGAACAAATACCGATATCTGGAGGATATTATTTCTACTAAAGATAAAAAATTATCACTCTAATTGATCAGATCTCTTCCTATACAAAATATAGTGATATAACTATAGAACTGGAAATATATTCTAGCACTTATGAAAGGAAATTATAGGCAAAGAGACGTAGTGAATCTAAATATGACTCAGAAGTCCAGAAAAAATATACATTTCATCTCATTTCATCAATTCCTTTAAGGAAACGCTTAGCTGAAAGAATTTTTACTCACTAGTTTGGACATTTTTTTCAAAAATTTTATCAGCTTGTATCCTATGAGGATGATTTGGAAGCACTTTTAAATCAAAGACAATAAAATTGCGATCAGTCAAATAGTTAATGACATCTTCATATATATTACACTAATCATAAGCATATAGGCGAAGAATTTTGCTCAATTCTTCTGAAGTGGACTTATTATAGAGTACAATGTAATTTAAGTATTTTTTATTGTTTCCAAGCAGTCAAAAAAGCTCTATATAATATACATACTACTAATATTTTTGTGACGTCCTTCAGTAAAATAAGGAATGATTTTCTCCTAAACTTTTTTGAATCAGTGTATACATCTTCGAATATAGCCACTGTATCTCTTTCTGGAGAAAATAAATCCAGCTTTAGAATTTTATCAGGCTTTATAACCCGAAATGTGATATCTTCACGATTTGGTTTTAGACTATTCTCAATTATTTGATAGGCTGATTTGAGATATTTATATTTTGGCTTATTGAGGTGATAACCTATCAAAAGAAGATCATCATTTTTAATATATTGTGTTCCTTCTTTTTTACCTTTAAACATTCGATAAAGCTTGCTTTCCAATAATAGATTTACAACTTCATTAGTTTTTCCTGAATTGGTACAGCTAGAAATTAATACTATAAAGGGTTACTGGGAAGTTGAGTTCAATCTGTTGAATCTTTTTGCATCTTTTATCTCATCAATATGGAGAATGATTCTATCTACTAGATCAAGCTTTCTGACTTGATGTTTCTTATGATCTTTCATATTGCTTAACGTTATTTGGTATAATAGTATAAGAAAGCGATTCTGTAGGTTCTTATTATACCAAATTCAAGAAGATAGTAAGACATGCTAATATGGAAAATAATGAATTTTGTTGTAGATTTCTTGGGGACTTTCTCCAGAAATTAAATGGAAGTTCGCCATATGAGACTTATCAGGCTTATTAATGAAATCTTTTTATCTTTAGAAGAAATTGAGAGATATAAAGCTGAATTACTCTCTAATGCCAATCCCCTTTTACAATCCCAACAATACATACAATTTCAATTATATTCATTAGTCAAGATTGAGAAATTAAATTCTCAAATTGCATCTCTACAAGTGCAAATAGCTCAAATAAACCAGGTGCGCTCTCAGAATATTTAGAAGTCTTTAGAAAAAAAGCTGTTAGAATTTTTATGTGCTTGCAGAACGTTTAAACGTATCTTTAA